GGAGCTGTGAACGGAGCTGTGACCGGAGCTATGAACAGCTATGAACGGAGCTCTGAACGAAGGTGTCAAAAAAACCAGCGAAAAAAACCAGCAAAAATAGAACAGCAACTGGCGCGGAATCATTTTTATTGTGGCGGGATTTTTTTCAGAATTCGGGTTTTGGGTCAGGCCCGGGTCGCGAATACCCCTAAATAAAGTGGGACCGTAGTTTACAGGTGGCACACTTTTATTGGCTACGCACCTTCCTTACGGTGCGTAGTACTGAGGGAATATTTCTTCGGGTAGAAGATACCACCAGCCCAGCCAAGAGGGTTTCCGTGGAATGGAAGAATGATGTGGTGTGGCGAGTTCATTCCAGTTGATTTGAGGCAGCGCCTCATCTTATATTAATAATTACGAAAATTTCTATGTATTAATATATTAATCACAATTTTTAATTTTTACATGCAGATTATTCAATTTGTGTCAACCCGTTGGTTTATATGTAAAAATTAAAATTTAAATAATTTATATATTAAAACACAGGAATAGGGGTAGGGGTGGACCTAGTAGGGTCTACATGGTGCAATTGCCCCCTCAAATTTATATTTTTACTTATATAAGAGTGATGTTTTGCCCCTTCTAAAATATTAATTTTATCTCTTCTAAAGTATCATTTTGTTCTTCACTATAGCCCCTCACGTTAGGTCTAAATAGTCAGTATGCACCCCTTTAAAAAAAAAAAGAGAGACTCAATTTGCTCCTGAATAACACGATAGAAATGTAATATCCCCTAATAATTAAATTTTGGGATATTTACATACATTCCAAAAATTACTATATATTTACAGTTCTAAAATAAAATATTTTATATTTATATCTATTATATTTTTATATTATAAATTTATGCATTAAACAATATGTTTTATGTCAATAATAGTAATGATACTTTTAAGTGATATAAATGTAAATATTCAAATTTAAGTTTCCAATATACAAATGCGTTAGAATTGTGAGACATGTCATGACAAAAACGATAAAAAATATATTAGTGTAACAATTTAAATTTAATATAATGTACTCATTTAAAACTACCGATATTAGTAGCATGAGTATGTGGAACAATGTTCACAATTTTTGACAATCAATCATAATATATTATCTATTTAAACTTGTAATAAATAATTAAAATAAAAGTTTCTCGTATTTAAAATTAAATTAATCATTTTAGTAAATAATAAATGATATAATAGAATTAATCATTTTAGTAAATAATAAATGATATAATAGAATTTTCATTTATTGCACTTTTTAATTAATTTTAAAATATTTGAAAAAACTTTAGTTTTATATTTTATTAGATTCAAATAAATTTCAAATTAAATTTTATTTGCCAATGTTATACAAATATTAAAAAAAATAAAAAATAATAATAAAACATTTCATTAAGAGCCAACTTGTATCCTTCGTGAAAATACATAATCCACTTCGAAAGAACTGTTTGCCTATCTTCTAATATTATTCTAATAATTATTGATTTGCAAAAATACAACTGTTATTGTTACAGTTCAATATAACTTTATTTAATATAAATGAACATTTTAAATGTTTATGTGGAAACTTGCATAAAAATTGTTTGGGAATGGCGAATTTTATGCAAATTTTAATGAGTAATTATTTTCATAATTTGATTAAACTAGTTATTTCTCTTCTGAAAGCTTCACAAAAGAATCATGCTCTCATTTCAAAACCAAGAAAACATGAAATCTATTACTTGCACAAATTAAAAAATCATGTCCAAGTTCCGGCATGCAAGTTTCCTTTGGCATACATAGAAGCAAGAACTGTGAAGAGCACCCAATAAGCTAAAGAAGAAGAAATGAGTTATATTCATAAATACTGCATCAGAACAGTAGCTCACGAACTTTCACCGATCTTTTCACAGCATTGGTGAAACCCTGTAATGGCCATATTTTAGAATAAACAACTCGATAAATTCTGCAATATTATCAAGGAACTGTTCTGCAGGCAGGGAATGGAATTCAAAATTATTTTGCAATGCAATTAAAAACTTCCTCATTTAATTAATATTTTGGATTATATAAAGCCACACAACATTTACAAATTACGCCCCTATACTTCTTTTATTTACAACTAGAACTCTATATTAGATGCAAATCTCAACAAATGGAATTGAGTAAATGCTTAGTCATTTTGTTGAAAAGGAACCCAACAACACACAAAGCCATCGTATTGAAGAAAATACTGAGCTGTGGATAATGGAGGTAACATCAGCACTTACCTCATTGTATTTGAAGAGAAATGGCCTTGAATCTCTTTCAGCAGTTGGGGCCTTTTGCAAGTTGCTGGCATCATTCTTTGAATCAGTGTTGCATCCTTGCCTAAATCTGTTTATGAAAAGATAGAAACATGTAAAGAATGAAATTCATGAAGGCATACATACAGTGCTCTATCATAGCTTACAACGCTATTCATAAACACAACATTACCTATCAAAGAAACTAGTTGGCCTACTAGGCTTCTTTGAGTCGCCACCGATAGTTTGTACAGCAAAACTCTTATCGGAAGCGATTTTCTTTATTTCGGAATTTGAATTCTCATGACTGTCTTTATTTTGCAACTCAATCATTGCAAATCTGGGTTTATCATTGTCCTGAACGGATGCAGATTTAGTGATTCTTTCATGTATTACTTCTGACTTTTTAATAGTTGAAGACTGTCTGTCCTCGCCACATTCATCACTAGGATTAAGCGATCTTCCTGGGTTTTCACGCATTATTCTCTGTTTTTCAACCTGTTACCCACCTTTTTAATTAATATGATTAAAAAATGATTATGTGGATAAGGATTAAGGGTCATCATACTAGTCCTAGTTATGTTAGCAGACTCAGAATTTTTAAATTAGTTTAAGAAAATAATGGAATAATATGTTGCGAATAACACCATAAAGCCCAAGAAAAAAAGAATGTAATCTGTCTCTATATCAGATCAACAATATTTTAGTCCTAGTTTTTAAGTATTCATTGCTTTTGCAATACGAAAGTCCGATGACATAATTTAGACGCTTGGTAAGTAATCCATGCTATGAAATTCAATGTGATGGCATACCTCATGCAACAAAACCCGTTTCATCGTTAGAGATAATCCTAAATGTGTTGATTGATAGTCCTGCTTAAATAGAAAGAACTATCGGTCAAGTTAATTTTAAACCTTTATTTATGTATGACTAAGAAAATCAACATCAGGAAGAAGACCTTAAAGTTAATGAAGTCACCAATTGGGGGGTCAAGAGTGAGTATAGAGGCGTCATCAGCGGCTCCCTGCTTGTGAGGACCCTTCAAGTTCTCAGCATTGGAGCTTTTGTATGTAATGGAGTAAGAAGCCATAGTATCCACCAGCTGAGCTACATCATGCTTCTCCTTTTCAGAAAATAGATGCAATGCTACCTAAGATAAAACAAGAAAACAACCCCAGCAATAACAAAGTGAATAAAGAAAATAATGAATAGGATGAGCTTGAAAAGTATGTGATTCTCTCTTAATTCATGAAGATTTAATTTGTTTGAAATTTAAAATATAGTAAGCAAATTTGCAGCATGAATAAATTGTTATAAACTTACAGGCCTCAAGTTTGGAGGAACTAGGATATGCAAAAATAAAGAGACAAAATCTTCAGCAAAATACTCGGCAGAAAGATGCCTTGAGACAATTGGCAATAATTTGCTTTGCCAAAACTTCAACATGTCCTTCTTCTCCATAGACATTGCTCGGCATCTAAATGAACTTGAAGTTATTCTACTAAATAGATAAATGATTTGCAGCAGTATGTTACCTCTGTAAAGACTTTGGCCATTCAATATTTGGCTTATCAACAAGAGCAATCAAGCGTTTGATAGCTATGGCAAGAGGGGGCTGAAAAACTGAGAAAATACGAAAGGGTTGACATTACCAAATCATATTATCAAAAGGTTATTGAGACATAAATCAAAGTGAGTGAGATGTAACCATGAAGTGACATCTGTTGTGTTCGCATTATATACTGATGGAACAAATCGGAAACACCAAGCATATCAAGGCATGTAAACTTCAAGGCACGGACAATTGAACAGCCAATACAATCAAATTTGACAATGAGATTAACACTTAAAATTGAACATGAGATATATATCCAAAAATTAAAAGTTACAAAAAGAAAACTTACAGTCTTTGTCATCATTGGATCAATGTAAGAAAGTCCTAAGATGTTTTCATGAATCCCGTCCATTGTCAAGTCATAATTAACACTGCAAGTTGCTTCAAGTCTTAATGGAAAAAAGGAGATAAAATGCTATATGCTTTTTTATCGATTAGACAATTTTAAACCAGAAATCTAATTTTAAAGCTACACAATCTGCCTTACTGATTAGACAAAAGAGAATACATAAACTCAAAATCCCTTTGACCATTCAAGTCCCTTTTTGAACTCTTTGCGCACTTGGATTTACTGTTTTGAAAAATCTGCACACAAGCAAAGTTTCTTGAATGTGAAACATATATGACAAATTATAACTATTGAAGATAAGCAAATGATCAGAACAACATGAGGAAACAACTGAATACCTTATTCCATATATCGAAGCAACTCCTTGATATATCCTTGTGACCAACTACTTGGGAACCAATCTCTAACTTAATATTGAAAAAAGCAGATGAAACAGTATTTGCAAGGTAAATAAAAAAAAAAGGTCAATGAGAATGATGTATGCTGTTATCTTACAATATTCAGGGTTTCTTTCTTCTTATTCAAGAACTGAAGTGTGTTTAAGCATGAGCGTATATCACATTCTGCAACAGTTTGAGTAGTTAAGAGAAAGAAGATGAGCTCTCATACGAATAGCTGAAATAAAAAATACAAGAAACCTGACATTGCTCCATAATGCCATTTTTATATTTCCAAATAGAGTTAAAAAAAAAAAACTATATGTAATTAAAAATCTCAGCTTTGTTCGTGCCGAATCAATAGTGATCATTATTTTGAAGAATAAACATAGTAAACTATTAGAAAATGTGACTAGAAACCTTTTTTGTACAGATTATGGGGATGTTTGGGACAACTTTTTTGTTTTATTTTAAAAAAACAGAAATTAAAACTAAAAGCATATTTGTTCATTGACTTTTTATTTGTTTTTCTATTTCATTTTTAAACAAAAGTGTTTCTATTTTTTATTCTCCCGAGAAATTATTAAAGTAGAACCCCCGGAGGATCAAAATCTCATCCCCGAACTCTTACAAAGGAAGAACTGATCCTACTGATCATGTAACTTCTTTCGAATCATTGATTTGTCTGTTATGCATAGATGACGCCCTTAACTGCCTTTTATTCCTCACAATGCTCAAGGAGTCGACTTTCTGTTGGTTCAATAGCTTCATGTTTTACCCACTATTTTGAAAACCGGGACAGACCGGATAATCGAACCTGTCCAACCAGAAATCGGATGTGGCACTGATCCAAAAGGGAATAAAAACCGGATTTACATTGAACTGGCATAGAATTCTTTGAACTGTCGGTCCAATTGAAAAAAACTGTTCTTGGCTTAAAAAAATCGGCAAATTTCTCATCGGCGACGTGATCGCTTCGCTGTCCGTCGACGACTTGAAAGGAATTGCCCTGGTCCTAAATTTTCATCCTTCATGGAAGAAAGCTTTTCGAGGTCATTTATGAGACCTGTCTGCAAAGGGAGAGTATGAAAGTAATTCACATAAGTGCTCTGTATGGGGCGTTTCCAATGGAGAAGAAAGATATTGGAGAGATGAGATGCCTGGAGTTGATATCGACATTGCTTGCCATCGGCTCAATCTCAACCCAACATCAGACCTGTTAAACAAAATATACAAGTCTTCGCCACTACTATGGCTGAACCTATCTAGCAAGAGGTTCAAAAGCTCTTGGAAGTCAACTTTATCCGTGAAGATCAATATCCGAACTAGCTAACAAATGCGATGATGGTCCATAAAACAACCAAGTGAAGAATGTGTATGGATTTTACCAAATTGAATGTGCCTTGCCCTAAGAACAACCATCCCGTACCAAGGATCGACACCTTGGTAGATTCAGCAGTAGGCCATTCAGTTATGAGCTTTCTAAATGCCTACTTGGGATATCATAAAATAAAGAAGTATCCCACGAATGCTGAGAAAATCACTTTTTTCACTACAGATGGAATATTTTGCAACAATGTAATGCCTTTTGACTTAAAAAATGTTGGAGTAACTTACTAGGGACTTATGGATATCGTTTTTCAAAGTCAAATAGAGAAAAGCATTTAAGTGTACATTGATGATCCTCTCGCAAAAATTAAATCTCTCAAATAACATAAAGCATTTGGAATATATATAGCAGATCTAAAAGAAATTTTTCACGCGTTGAGACGGTTCAATCTAAAACTTAATCCTCTCAATTGTGCCTTTGGAGTAAGTTTGAAAAAAAATCCTAAGATACTATAGTCGGAAGGGATCAAGGCAAATCCTGAAGAAGTTCAAGTTATTCTAAGCATGTCACCTTCTAGGAATCTAAAAGAGTTGCAAAAACTTTTTGGTCGATTGCTGGCTTGGGCAGCTTCCTCTCAAAGTCGGGTGATCGCCGCTCATCCTTCTTTAATGTCATGAAAAAGTCTACAAAATTTATTTATATAGAAAAATGTGCACTAGCGTTCAACCAATTGAAGGAACTGTTGGCCTCACCTCCCCATTTGGTCCAAAATCAGGAGAATAGTTCATTTACCTCAAAGTCGGAAAAGTAGTTAGCTCTGTTTTGATCCACAAGGAGAAAAACAAACAATTTCAAAACTATTATGTGAGCAAAGTTTACAGTGAGATGAATCGAGATATGTAATTATGGAAAAAATCGCATTAGCTATTATCATTTCAGTAAGAAAATGATGTATTTGCTTTCAAACGCACACTGTAAAGTTGATCATAGACCATCCACTTAAATCAATGTTATAGCAGCCCAACCATTCTAAAAGATTACTAAAATGATCAATAGAATTAAGCGAGTTCGACATTTCTTATATTCCAAGGACAGTGATCAAAACCTAGGTAGCCGTTGATTTTCTGTCAGATTTCTGAAAAGGGCTAATCTAAAATGAAATCAGCATCATGAATAAACTCTAGACACTTTGCAAGGACAACCTCGAGAACCCTAAGAGAAGGAATATGTATAGTTCTACGAAGCTTGCAAGAACTTACTCCTCATCCTTCGACGTTACTTGATTTCGATGCCACTAGTAATCAAACGGAGTACGAAGCGCTAGTGAGACTGCCTTTCATTGGCAATTAGATTCTGGAGCTGCCTGTTATTGAGGAACTCAAAAATATTAAACACTGAGTCGGAGTCATTTACAAATTAGATTGACCCTATAAAAGTGTATCTGACCATAAAACAAATTTCACCATGAGTAACAAATTCTCATAAGTTCGGATCAAAAGCGACCCAATACTTCATTATATGTGATTAACTGCCTAAAAAGCCAATAATCGTTGTTTCATTAAGATGCGTTAAGGAGGATGAAAAAACAGTAATCCTCCAACAAATTAACACGAGAGAACGTGGAAGTCATCAAAAAGAAAGAAACTAGCCAACCGTATCCTACGGCAAGGACATTGCTGGCCAACCTTAAGAAAAGACTCAAAAAAGCAAGCGCAAAGATGCAGACAGTGTCAAAGGCTTGCACTCATGTGATTACAACCTTCTCATAAGCTCCAATCAATCACAAGTCTCTGGCCTTTCATGATCTGGACGATGGATCTCCTCGATCCTTTTCCACAAAATAAAGAACTGCAAAAGTTTGTTCTTATAATGATTAACTACTTTTCTAAATGAAGTAAAAGTCAAACCACTAGCAAGAATCACTATTGAAATAATCACCAATTTCCATATGAACTTATATTTTCTGTCGATACGGACTACCCTTTATGATCATCACTGACAACGACACTAAATTTGCTGCTAAAAAACTTAAGAATTTTTGCAATGAGTAAGTAATACAACTTAAGCATTCTTTCATGCACAAATCTAAAGACAAATGGACAAGTAGAAGCAGCCAACAAATTGATCCTCGCCATACTGAAGAAAAAAATATAAGGAACGAAATGACGGTGGTTGAAATCCTGTCCTCTGTATTATGTGCCCTACGAACCCTCCACTTCTAATAAGCATACTCCTTTCATCTTGTCACATGGGACTTAAGCAGTGCTTCCAGTAAAGTACGACATACATAACTAGCAGGTCCTAATCGCTTCCAGTTTTGATGAGCAAGAAATAAACAAATGGAGAGGGCTCAACAATGAGAGCCTGCACAACTCACTGGATCTCTTAGAAGAGATGTGCGATCAATCCACATTACGGCAAGTGAAAGCCAAAAAAGGACCTCAAAATTTTACAACTCGCGAGTCAAGGAACATCAATTCAAATCTGGAAATTTTGTCTTAGAAAAGATTGACGTCGCAACTCGTAATCAAGCACTTGGCATATTTTATCTTTTATGGATGGAGTCTTGCATCATCAAAGAGCAATTTGCGACAGACCCGCATAAGCTAATTATATATCTCGATAAAGAAGTCCTCAAGATGTGGAGTGGGCTTGATCTCAAGATATTTTAATCCTAAAACGGGGTAATGCGACCACATTCGAGTAAAGAACAATTGATGTATACATAAGAAAAAAGAAAATTAAGTACTCCAATGGGTTATCTTTACTCATTTAAAAATGCAAACATAAGGCAAAAATAAAATATACATTTTTAATTTGCTTAAATGATCAGTTCTAAGTTATTATATTAAAAAAAATAAAATAATTTGCTAAGGTACAATCGACTATCTTCTCGAGAAGATTGGAAAACCCTAGACGGCAAGAAGAACCTTGTAGGAATAGCTTTGGAGTCCCCAAGAAAGTAAGACCTGAAGGAGAGTTAAAAATTTCTCGAACGGATGCTGATATATATCTTTTTAGAAAGTAGTAATTTAAGAAGAACCTATTTTTTTAAGCAAAAATTTTTAAAAGGTATATTAATTGCTCACAAGAACAATATCCAGTGGCAAGATACTTATTTTTTTCTTCATTCATATCCCAGTGTAAAAGAGCATTAGTTAAAATGATAACAAATTTCTACAGACTCAACATGCCAAATTAACTCGGGGAACTTGCTATAGGTGTAAAAAAATACCGCAAAGTTAGATAAATGATTCCAAAATTCATCAGTAGAGTCTTAAAAATGTAAATACATGTGCATTCACATACATATATATAACAAAATAAGCAACAGTTGAACGTTATAAGGTTTGTCCTAATCATCCTCTTCATCGTTAGATTCTCTCAAAAGTTGCAGGTAGCGTTCCAAATCATCCAAATATGAAAGAAGAATCCCTTTTTGCACTAGAATACTCAGACAAGGCTTGACCTTCCTCTCATAATGATCCGCCAGAAAATCTATGTACTCGAACATCTACCTTAAGTTCCTAAAAGGATTCCTCTTGTGTCTTCCTTCCTGCGAGCTGCTCCTCCTAGCTCTCAACTTTGTATTTCAATTTTTCATTTAACTCGTTGTCCTCTTCAGATCAAACAAAGCCTTTCAAAGAATGTGGCTTGGTTTTCCATCTCCTTTTTTTTTTCAGCATAGTGTTGAACTAAGAGCCTTGATGCTTGTTTGTGATCTTCAAACTCCCCCATCATAAGTTTAAGCCCGCTCTTTTACATCAACTAACTCGCCTTCCAGCACAATGTTACGGGAGTTTTTGCCCTCAACTCGTCAAGAAATTTGACATTGTACTCCTCCAACCATTTTACC